GTATCTTTTTGGGACGCCTCGCAGATAAGGGACTTGGGGGTACTGCCTTGCAGTGGCACCAGTCCTTTCTCGAGGGACGGTCCCAGAAGGTGTTACTGGGTGACTCCTGTTCGGCCCCACAAACTTTGTTGTGTGGGGTCCCACAGGGTTCAATTCTGTCCCTGATGTTGTTCAATATCTACATGAAGCCGCTGGGGGAGATCATCCGGAGTTTCGGAATGTGGTGTTATATGTGGTGTTATATCTATGCAGATGATGTCCAAATCTGTCACTCCTCACATGTCACCAAGGAGGCTGTCCAAACCTTGAACCGGTGCTTGGCCGCTGTGTCGGACTGGATGAGAGCTAACAAATTGAAATTGAATCCAGACAAGACAGAGGTCCTAATGGTCAGTCGTAAGGCCGAACAGGGCATAGGGTTACAGCCTGCGTTAGACGTGGTTACACTCCCCCTGAAGACGCAGGTTCGCAGCTTGGGAGTGATCCTGGACTCATCTCTGAGCCTGGAACCCCAGGTTTCGGCGGTGGCTGGGAGAGCTTTGCACAATTAAAACTTGTGCGCCAGTTGCGCCCGTACCTTGGGAAGTCAGATCTGGCCACAGTGGTCCACGCTCTTGTTACATCCCGAATAGATTACTGCAACGCACTCTACGTGGGGTTGCCTTTGAAAACTGTTTGGAAACTTCAATTAGTAGATTAATCACCAGAGCGTCATACAGGGAACATACCACCCTCTGTTGTGTCAGCTCCACTGGCTGCCAATCCAGTCCCGAGCACAATTCAAAGTGCTGGTTTTGACCTATAAAACCCTATACAGCTCCGGCCCAGCGTACCTGTCCGAACGTATCTCCTTCTATGTCCCACCTCGGAGTTTAAGATCTTCTGGGGAGGCCCTGCTCTCGGCCCTGCCTCTATCACAAGTGAGGCTGGTGGGGACGAGGGACAGGGCCTTCTCAGTGGTGGCCCCTCGCCTGTGGAACTCACTCCCCGGGGAAATTAGGTCATCAACATCCCTCCTCTCCTTCAGAAGGAAGCTGAAAACATGGACATGGGACCAGGCCTTTGGGTAATCTGGCAGACTGACAAGGTAATGACGACCAGAATTTGGAAAGGACTATGGTAATGCTGAATGGACTTACGGATTTTAGAACTCGGTGAACGTTGGCCACTAGATTGGCTTTTAGTTGTTTTATGTTAATTGAATGTTTTAGCTTGTGGTTATTGTTGTTATGTATTTTATCTGTTGAATTGTTGGCATCGAATTGTGCCGGTTGTAAGCCGCCCTGAGTCCCCCCTTGGGGGTTGAGAAGGGTGGGGCAGAAGTGCCCGAAACAAACAAACAAACAAACAAACAAACAAAGAAACAAATAAATTTTATACTGTTTAATGTTTTTTAATCTATATTATGTTTTATGTATACTGATTTGTTGGAAACCGCCTTGAGTCGCCGATTGGCTGAGAAAGGCGGTAAACAAATACAGTAAACACAGTAAATAAATAAATAATTTGTAAACTCATAACGTAATTTGACGTTGAATAGGCTTTTCCTTAATCCCTCTTTATTATCCAGCATTTTCACGAGACTCTACTGTATCTCCAAGCTATTTGCATCAGATATATATGAAACACAAATGAATGTCATGCTGAGACTTGGCTCCTATCTCCAAAGTGTCTGATTATAGGCATAGATGCAAATGCAGGTCTCCCAAAACAAACAAACAAACAAACAAATAAAATGATTCAAAACAGGCAAGGTAGCCTTTAATCATGGACTGAAGGGCATCATTTTAATCATCGATCAAAGGGCACATGCGATTAGGTGTTGTTCAGATATGCAGCGGTGCCAGCGTTGTGCTTGAATGTTGGACTATGACTCTGCACCATCTCCAGAAATATCCCTTTGAAATGTATGGGATTGTTGTAAGTCCAAAGGTGACTCGAAGGCATACACGGGGTGCATCTATACTGTTGAATTGATGCAGTTTGACGCCGCTTGAACTTCCTTGGCTCAATGCTAATGGCATCCTGAGAGTTGGAGTTTTACAAGGTCTTTAGCCTTCTCTGCCAAAGAGTGCTGGTGCCGCCCCAAACTACAAGCCCCACAATTCCATGCAGTTTAAAATGGTATCAAACTGTATTAATTCTACAGGGTAGATGCACTTGCAAGAAAAACCCATAGACTCCATTAAAACAGTGTTTCTCAACCGTCCTAATGCTGCAACCCCTTAATACAGTTCCTCATGTTGTGATCCCCAACCATAACATTATTTTCGTTACTACTTCATAACTAATTTTGCTACTGTTATGAATCGTAATGTAAATAGCTGATATGCAGGATGTATTTTTATTCACTGGACCAAATTTGGCACAAATACCCGATACGCCAAAATTTGAATACTGGTGGGGTTGGGGGGGGGGGGGATTGATTTTGTCATTTGGGAGTTGTAGTTTCTGGGATTTATAGTTAACCTACAATCAAAGAGCATTCTGAACTCCACAAATGATGAAATTGAACCAAATTTGGCACACAGATCTCCATGGCCAGAATTGGACACAATATTCCAGGTGTGGTCTGCCTTGGTTAGACCACACCTGGAATATTATGTCCAGTTCTGGGCACAACAATTGAAGAGAGATACTGACAATCTGGAATGTGTCCAGAGGAAGGCGACTACAATGATCAAGGGTCTAGAGAACAAGCCCTATGAGGAGCGGCTTAAAGAGCTGGGCATGTTTAGCCTGAAGAAGAGAAGGCTGAGAGGAGACATGATAGCCATGTATAAATATGTGAGAGGAAGCCACAGGGAGGAGGGAGCAAGCTTGTTTTCTGCTGCCCTGGAGACTAGGACGTGGAACAATGGCTTCAAACTACAAGAAAGGAGATTCCATCTGAACATTTGGAAGAACTTCCTGACTGTGAGAGCCGTTCAGCAGTGGAACTCTCTGCCCCGGAGTGTGGTGGAGGCTCCTTCTTTGGAAGCTTTTAAACAGAGGCTGGATGGCCATCTGTCAGGGGTGCTTTGAATGCATTTCCTGCTTCTTGGCAGGGGGTTGGACTGGATGGCCCAGGAGGTCTCTTCCAACTCTATGATTCTATGAACTGAAAATACTGGAAAAGTTTGGTGGGCATTGGCCTTGAGTTTTGGAGTTGTAGTTCACCTATATCCAGAGAGCACAGTGGACTCAAAACAATGATAGATCTGGACCAAACTGGTCTCGAATACTCAACATGCCCAAATATGAACACTGGTAGAGTTTGGGGAAAATAGACCTAGACATCTGGGAGTTGTAGTTGCTGGGATTTATAGTTCGCCTACAATCAAAGAGCATTCTGAACTCCACAAACGATGGAATTGAACCAAATTTGGCACACAAAACTCTCATGACAAACAGCAAATACTGGAAGGGTTTGCTAGACATTGAGTTTTGGAGTTGTAGTTCACCTACATCCAGAAAGCACTGCGGACTCAAACAATGATAGATCAGGACTAAATTAGGCATGAATACTCAATATGCCCAAATGTGAATACTGGTGGAGTTTGAAGAAAATAGACCTTGACATCTGGGAGTTGTAGCTGCTGGGATTTATCATTCATCTACGAGGGGTATTTCTTAAGTAAGGTCCGTTGGAACATAAGTACACAACGAATGGCAAAGGAAGGCGACGAAAAGGATAAAATAATAATAATAAATATTATAATACTAAATATTATAATAATATGTATTTTAATATTTTGATAAATGTTTTTAATGTTTATGTATTGTATGTGAATTTGTGTCCCGGCATTGAATGTTTGCCGTGTATATGCTGTGCCCTGAGTCCCCTTCGGGGTAAGAAGGGAGGAATATAAATGTTTTAAATCTATATACGAGGGGTATTTTTTAAGTAAGGTCCGTTGGAACATAAGTACACAACGAAAGTTTATTTCAAAAAAGTAAATTTATTTTCAGAAAGTACATACTTCACTCTATTTTTCGGCACAGTTGCCAAGTTTGTTCAAACACTTATCATACCTCTGAACCAATTTTAAAATACCCTCTTCATAAAAACTTGCCGCCTGCTCCGATAACCAAATTGTCTGTAATCAAAGAAGGGCGACCGGAGCGGTCCTCATCATGGACGTTGTCACGGCCATCTTTGAATTGTCGTACCCACTTACGCACTTTGCTTTCACTCATAACAGTATCACCGTACACTTCACAAATCTGTCGATGAATTTCTGCAGCAGGCAGGTTCCTTGCTGACAAAAACCGTATCACTGAGCGAACCTCACATGCGGAGGGCGAGTTGATAGTCTTAAACATTTTTAAAGCACAGAACAGAACCGTACAGGTTAGCTACAGAGCGGAAACTGAGCACAGTTGTTCCCGAGGCATGCCGGTACACGACACACGCGCTCGTTGCGGTATGCGCGCGAACTACTAGTGTCTACAACAAAATGGACCTTACTTAAAAAATACCCCTCGTACAATCAAAGAGCATTCCGAACCCCACCAACAATAGAATTGGGCCAGACGTCCCACACAGAACCCCCATGACTTGAAAGGATGCGTTGGAGCGAGCCTCCCTCCAGCCTCGCATGCTCTTCCTTGCCTGCACATGCGCACCATGCTGCCATGTGTGCCGAGTACGCCTGCTCTCCCCTCCCCACTTGGAGTCTCAGAAATAGCCCTCCCCTTGTCTGAGAGGTTGGCTTAACACAGCGAAGGAGGGTTTTTGGTGGGAGGATTAGCCTTCTGTTTCCAAAAAGGAAGAGAAAAACAGACGGAGAGATCTTCAGCCTTCTCTGCCAAAGGGGTTCCGAAGACTACCAGAAATATGTTTTTCTGATTGTCTTTGGCAACCTATCTGAAACCCCCTGGTGACTCTCGCCCAGAGATCCGGACCCCCAGGTTGAGAAACATTGCATTTAAAGGAGAAGAGCCTTTTCCAATTTCCCGCCTGGCAATCTTCACCTTTTATTTTTACTAAATGCATATTTCTCCTCTTTCTTTGCCAGAAATCCCAGTTTGTCCAGTTTGCTGATGTTTTCCCCTTAAAGGAGTTTGGCTACAAGCCAGAGCCGGACAGGTACCTGGAGACAGTGGGTTGGATCGAAGCCGTGGCCGGTTTGCTCTTAGCCTTTGGACCGCAATTGCTGCAGGAAATCAGTAATTTCATCCTCACCATTGTCATGATAGGTAAGCGCCTTGGTTGTGTCGCTGTCTCTCAGAGGAAGGCAATGGGAAACCAGATCTTGCCAAGAAAAACCCTGTGATAGGTTGGCTTTAGGGTTGCTTTAACCACAATGGGATCCTGGGAGCTGTAGTTTGCCGAGACCCCAATTCTCTTTCCTAGTTTAGCCTAAAGACCTTGTAAAGCTACAGCTCACAGAATGCCATTGCATTGAGTGTGAGTATGCATTAATTCTCCAGTGTAGATGCACCCATGGCTGCATTGTATTGTCGAAGGCTTTCATGGCTGGAATCACTAGGTTCTTGTGGGTTCTTTCGGGCTATATGGCCATGTCCTAGAGGCATTTTCTCCTGACGTTTCGCCTGCATCTATGGCAAGCATCCTCAGAGGTAGTGAGGTCTGTTGGAACTAGGAAAATGGGTTTATATATCTGTGGAATGACTGGGGTGGAGCAAAGAGCTCTTCTCTGCTGGAGCTAGGTGTGAATGTTTCAACTGACCACCTTCATTAGCATTTGAAGGCCTGGCTGAGCCTGGGGGAATCTTTTGTTGAGAGGTGTTAAGATGTGCCTGGTTGTTTCTCTCTGCTGTTTTGCTGTTGTAATTTTAGAGTTTTTTAATCACCATGTCAGACGACACAGAGAAGCCATTGAAATCCACAAGCATGTGGACAATTTCAACAGAAAGGAAGAGACCATGAAAATGAACAAAATCTGGCTACCAGTATTAAAAAACTCAAAAATTACAACAGCAAAACAGCAGAGAGGAAACAACCAGGCACATCTTAACACCTCTCAACAAAAGATTTTCCCAGGCTCAGCCAGGCCTTCAAATGCTAATGAAGGTGGTCAGTTGAAACATTCACACCTAGCTCCAGCAGAGAAGAGCCCTTTGCCCCACCCCAGTCATTCCACAGATATATAAACCCATTTCCTAATTCCAACAGACCTCACTACCTCTGAGGATGCTTGCCATAGATGCAGGCGAAACGTCAGGAGAAAATGCCTCTAGAACATGGCCATATAGCCCGAAAAAAACCATCATGGCTGCATTCTTTGGAAGGTTGGGGTTTGTAGTTTGGTGCACCACGGGAGCTTTCCGACTGCAAATTCTACATATTCCTTCCTAAACTGCAAATTGCAGGGATACCATAGGTTAGAACTATAACAGTTAAAGTGAAATCATTGTGCTATATCTGTTTAGTGTGAAAAGCTCCTAGTAATGAAATCTTCAAACCAGTTAAAGGGTCTGGAGAACAAGCCCTATGAAGAGCGGCTTAAAGAGCTGGGCATGTTTAGCCTGAAGAAGAGAAGGCTGAGAGGTGACATGATAGCCATGTATAAATATGTGAGAGAAAGTCATAGGGAGGAGGGAGCGAACTTGTTTTCTGCTGCCCTGGAGACTAGGACGTGCAACAGTGGCTTCAAACTACAAGAAAGGAGAGTCCATCTGAACATTAGGAAGAACTTCCTGATTTGTAAGAGCTGTTCAGCAGTGGAACTCTCTGCCCCAGCGTGTGGTAGAGGCTCTTTCTTTGGAAGAGGCTGGATGGCCATCTGTTGGGGGTGCTTTGAATGCATTTTTCCTGCTTGATGGCAGGGGGTTGGACTGGATGGCCCATGAGGTCTCTTCCAACTCTATGATTCCATGATTCTAAACTCCAATTCATATCAGCCCTAACCAACGTAGCTCAGGATTCTTGTGATCTAGCATCACCTGGAAGGCCACATGAGGAAATAATAATAATACTAATAATAATAATAATAACAATACAATATAAAGTGAAACAAACAGTAGAAGAAGAGAAACATGCACTGGCAGATTTTGTGAAAGGCAGTCAAGAACCAACATTGATGGAAGTCAATAGTAGAAAACCGCTTAAAGTGCAAAAGACAAAGAGTGAATACTGTAGAAATACAACAACAACAACTTTATTTATATTCTGCCCAATCTCCCCATAAAGATTCAGGGTGAATTCCAAACACTGAGATTGTGGCGCAGCTGGCTGAGTGTCAGCTGCATTAAGATCACTCTGACCAAAAGGTCATGAGTTCGAAGCCAGTCCGGGTTGGAGTGGGTTTCCAACCAATTGTGTAGCCTGTTGTCAACCTTTGCAACCCGAAAGACAGTTGCATCTGTCAAGTAGGAAAATTAAGTACCACCTTAAAGTATGGGGAGGCTAAATTAACTAATTTATGAGGCCATAAAAAAAAGACTCCAGCAAGCACTCCAGCAAAAAGCATTGAGGAAAAACAACAGGAAAAACTCCGCCATTATCAAGACCTCAAAATCGAACTGCAAAGGCTCTGGCGTAAACCAGTACAGATGGTCCCAGTGGTCATTGGCACACTGGGTGCCGTGCCAAAGGATCTCAGCCGGCATTTGGAAACAATAAGCATTGACAAAAATCACGATCTGTCAACTGCAAAAGGCCACCTTACTTGGATCTGCGCTCATCATTCGGAAATACATCACACAGTCCTAGACGCTTGGGAAGTGTTCGACTTGTGATTTTGTGATACGAAATCCAGCATATAGATCTCGTTTGCTGTGACATACTGTGCTTTTGTGTCAGTATAATAATAATAACAACAACAAAAACAACATTATTTTTGTACCCCGCTTCGGGACTCAGGGTGGCTTACATGGGGACAAGCCCAAGATTCAACATAGTTAAAATATGACAACAAAATTCATAAAAAAAACATTTGAAGCGTTAAAGCCAGAACTTTGAATTGTGCCTGGTAGCAAACTGGCAGCCAGTGGAGCTGGCGCAACAGAGGAGTTGTATGCTCCCTGAGTTCCGCTCCTCTTAACAACCTGGCTGCTGACCATTGGACCATTTGAAGCTTCCGGACAGTCTTCAAAGGCAACCCCACGTAGAGAGCGTTGCAGTAGTCTATACGGGATGTAACCAGAGTGTGGATTACCGTGGCCAAGTCAGACTTCCCAAGGTACGGGCGCATATCATTTTGGGTTTTGGTGTATTTTTATTTTTTGGGATTTCATATAAGGGATGCTCGACATTTCTAATACATGTCGAGCATCCCTTATATGAAATCCCAAAAATAAATTGATTAAAAGCCTCCCAGCATTTTAATCCCTTGAGAAAATGGCTCTCCATGCATCCAATAGGGGGCGCCAAAAGCCAACTACTCATCCATTTGCATTATTGGTGAACTCTATGCATTGGAGAAAGGGATTTATATGGATTTTCTGGCCTTAATTTATGCCGCTCACACTCTGTCTTCACGATGCGATCAGTGGTCTGGAAACTTTCTACAGCTGTTCCACTTCTTATAGCTTTCGGTAATTGACTGCTGATATTATCTTTTAAAAACTGCATTGTGATCTTATCGAGCTGCTGGCGTCTTTTGAATGCAGTTGTCCCAAAATGCAGAGGGACTGTGTCTGGAGAGAAAAAGCTTGACCGCGATGGAGCAAAACTGTTTTATTTTGTTATCCAGTGGTTGAACGGGAAAAATGATTCTGCTGATCGTAACAATAAAGAAAACTTTGGAAAATGAAAAATGGAATTTCCGGTTGCTTGAGAGTTACTATGAAAAATAGGTCTAATAGAATACCCCATACTATACCCTGCCATAATGATTTGATATTAATATTGACACGCAATAATTAAAAACAAGTGAAGACAAATAAGGACAAACGCAGTGTAACACAGTTTTACTGTAATTTAAAAATTGATTTTATTGTAAGGTAAAGGTAAAGGTAGTCCCCTGACATTAAGTCCAGTCATGTCTGACTCTGGGGTGTGGTGCTCATCTCCATTTCTAAGCCGAAGAGCCAGCGTTGTCTGTAGACACCTCCAAGGTCATGTGGCCGGCATGACTGCATGGAGCGCCGTTACCTTCCCGCCGGAGCGGTACCTATTGATCTACTCACATTTGCATGTTTTCGCACTGCTAGGTTGGCAGAAGCTAGGGCTGACAGCGGAAGCTCACGCCGCTCCCCGGAATCGAACCTGCGACCTTTCGATCAACAAGCTCAGCAGCTCAGTGCTTTAACCCACTGCACCACCGGGGGCTCCTAAGTAAAATATAATTACTTAATTTATTTTGCTTGGGAGTTCTAGTTGTTTGAATTCTGGTTCCCACAGAGAGTCTACTGTATTATAGTTTTCATTGGATTCCTTCTAAAGCTATAAGCCACTTTGGGTCCTGATCTTGGGACAGAAGAAGGGTGTAAAGAAATATAACAATAATAATTAATAATAATTAATAATTATCCTCTGGGACTTCCGGATTCAGACAGACAAAGTTTTATTTATTTATTTATTTATTTGGTACACTTGTATACCGCTAATTTCTCAGCCTAGAACGGCGACTCAATTGCGGTTTACAGCATTTTAAAAACAATCTCAGTTTAAAAAACATATACAAATACAATAACAAATTATTGGGCCACCAATAATAATCCCATATATCTCAAGTTAAAATCACAATCCAGAGTTCGTTGTCCATATTTCCTGTCCATAGTCACCAAGATTCGATTTAATTGCCACAGATTAGCTGAATGCTTGTTTGAATAGCCATGTTTTGAGTCTCTTCCTAAACACCATCAGCGACAAGGCTGATCGTACCTCTATAGGGAGGGCGTTCCAAAGCCGAGGGGCCACCACAGAGAAGGCCCTATCTCTCGTTCCCGCCAGCCGCACTTCTGAAGCTGGAGGATAATAGTTTTGGAGCATAATACTCCTGACCTCACAATCGTGTTAAAAAACAAAGTATGGATCATTGATGTTGCAATCCCAGGTGACAGCAGGATTGCAGAGAAACAACTGGAAAAGCTGACACGATATGAGGATTTAAAAATCGAACTGCAAAGACTCTGGCACAAACCAGTAAAGGTGGTCCCAGTGGTGATCGGCACACTGGGTGCAGTGCCTAAAGACCTTGGCCTGCACTTAAATACAATCGGCGCTGACGAAATTGCCATCTGCCAGCTGCTGAAGGCCACCTTACTGGGATCTGCACGAATTATTTGCCGATACATCACACAGTCCTAGACACTTGGGAAGTGTCCGACGTGTGATCCAATTCAGCCAGCAAAGTGTCTGCTGTGGACTCATCTTGTTGTGTTTCAAATAATAATAATAATAATAATAATAATAATAATAATAATAATAATAGCAGCGGGGTGTAAATAATAATAGAGATAAGGTGTTAATAATAATAGAAGCAGGATGTAAATAAATACAACAAAAACAACAACAATAATAGTAGAAGCAGGGTGCAAATAAATATAATAATAATAATAATAATAGCAGCAGAGTGTAAATAATAATAGAGATAAGGTGTTAATAATAATAATAGAAGCAGGGAGTTAATAATAATAATAATAATAATAATAATAATAATAATAATAATAGAAGCGGGATGTAAATAAATACAACAACAAAAGCAACAATAACAATAGTAGAAGCAGGGTGCGAATAAATATAATAATAATAGAAGTAGGGTGTAAATAATAATAATAATATGAATAAAAGCAGGATGTGAATAAATATAATAATATTAATAGAAACAGGGTGTAAGTAAATACAACAACAACAATACTAGAAGCAGGGTGTAGGTAAAGGTAAAGGTTTTCCCCTGACATTAAGTCCAGTCATGTCCAACTCTGGGGGTTGGTGCTCATCTCCATTTTTAAGCCGAAGAGCTGGCATTGTTCGTAGACATCTCCAAGATCATATGGCCGGCATGACTGCATGGAGCGCTATAATCTTCCTGCGGGAGTGATACCTATTGATCTACTCACATTTACATGTTTTCGAACTGCTAGGTTGGCAGAAGCTGGGGCTGACAGTGGAAGCTCTTGCCGCTCCCTGGATTTGAATCTGCCACCTTTTGGTCAGCAAGCTCAGCAGCTCGGTGCTTTAACCCACTGCGCCACCGGGGGCTCCAAGCATGGTGTAAATAATAATAATAATAATAATAATAATAATAATAATAATAATAATAATACTAGAAGAAGGATGTAAATAATAATAATAATAATAATACACCACATAGTTCTAGACCAGGGGTCCTCAAACTTTTTAAACAGAGGGCCAGGTCACAGTCCCTCAAACTGTTGGAGGGCCGGATTATAATTTGAAAAAAACATGAATGAATTCCTACGTACACTGCACATATCTTATTTGTAATGCAAAAAAACCCACTTTAAAACAGTGTAATAATTAAAATGAAGAACAATTTTAACCAATATAAACTTATTCGTATTTCAAGTGTGGACCTGCTTTTGGCTGATGAGATAGGATTGTTGTTGCGTGCTTTCAAGTTGTTTCAGACTTAGGCTGACCCTGAGCAAGGGCTGGGTAAATGACCTTGGAGGCCGTATCCGGCCCCTGGGCCTTAGTTTGAGGACCCCTGCCCTAGACACTTGGGAAGTGTCCGATGTGTGATCCAATACAAAAAACAGCATAGTGATCTTGTTTGCTGTGTACTAACCTTGTTATGTTGACCTTGAAGGAGCTGGGGGTGGTGACGGCCGACAGGGAGCTCTGGCGTGGGCTGGTCCATGAGGTCACGAAGAGTCGGAGACGACTGAATGAATGAACAACAACAACAACCCTTGTTATGTATCTAAAATAATAATAATAATAATAATAATAATCTGTCACGATCTGTCAACTGCAAAAGGCCACCTTACTTGGATCTGCGTGCATCATTTGAAAATACATCACACAGTCCTAGACGCTTGGGAAGTGTTCAACTTGTGATTTTGTGATACAAAATCCAGCATGTAGATCTCGTTTGCTGTGACATACTGTGCTTTTGTGTAAACAACAATAATAATAGAAGCAGGGTGGAAATTAATAATAATAATAATCTATATAAATAAAAATGTAATGTTCGTTTGTGGTATTAACAGAACTCAAAAACCACTGGACAAATTGACACCAAATTTGGACACAAGACACCTAACAACCCAATGTATGTCCTTCACTCAAAAAATGCTTTTGTCATTTGGGAGATATAGTTGTAGTTGCTGGGATTTATAGTTCACCTACAATCAAAGAGCATTCTGAACCCCACCAACGATGGAATTGAACCAAACTTGGCACACAGTTCTCCCATGACCAACAGAAAATACTGGAAGGGTTTGGTGCACAGTCTCCTTTGGTTTTGGAGTTGTAGTTCACCTACGTCCAGAGATCACTGTGGAATCAAACAATGATGGATCTGGACCAAACTCTACACAAATACTCAATATGCCCAAATGAGAACACTGGTGGAATTTGGGGAAAATGGAATCTTGACATTTGGGAGTTGTAGTTGCTGGGATTTATAGTTCATCTACAATCACAGAGCATTCTGAACCCCACCAACTATAGAATTGGGCCAAACCTCCTACACAGAACCCCCATGTGGGCCACAGTAATGCATGGCAGGGGATGGCTAGTAATAATAATAAAATAGCATCAGTTCATACCAAGAGTGAAGGCAAAGGCTGACTAGAATTTGCTAGTATGGGGCTGCAAGGATTTTTTTTTTTTTGTATTTTAGGGGGAAAGACTTGACAATTCCTCTTGTCTCTTTGCAGGCGCGATCTACACTCTCTTGGTCTTGAAGGAACCCATTGCCATGTGTGCCCCGGCCACGGTCTGCTTGGGCCTCCTGCTTCTCCTCAACATCCGGGGAAGGCCCGCCAAGTCGAAATTTGAATGAACGAATGGGGAAATCAATAGGGGGAGTGGATGGAGTTATTGCAAAGGATGCCGTTGAAAATGGCAAGTGTGCTTGCTGTCTGCCCCTTCATACCTGTCAATGAGGCACCTTGAGTCGTCTTAAGGCGGCTTTCTGGATGTGAGACCACCTCGAATATGAGTTGGAGCCCATAGTACCCTGCAATGTTCCTTGGAGGGATGCAAAAATACTTGCCTTTAGATACCTCTAGGGAGACATCTTTGCCCCTTTCAGTCCGTTGTAGGCTTTTTAATTGCAGGAAGCAAACCACAAATCAAGGTGCATCACTTGTTAAAACAAAAGAGGTCTTCAAAATAATAGTGTGAAATGTGGGAAATGTTTCTCAACCTCAACCTTGAAGGAGTTTTTTGGACCCTGCAAGATTTTGGAGACCAAGCTCTGGAGGCCACATGTAGTTCCTGGGTTGTGTCTTCCCCATCCCTCCTCGGGACTTTTCTCAATTGTCCTTTCTGTCAAATGTTATTTTCCTTGATATGTCTGGGAACAGACTAATCTTCTCGGCTCAAAGGGCTGCCTGCTGTTTTGAGCTGTGAATTTTATAGTTTGGGACAACATTGGATGAAATATAGATACAATCAGCCCTTTGTATCCACAGATTGGACATCCATGGATTCAAGCAACCATGGCTTGGAAATGCTTGGGGGAAAAATGTTGAGATTAACTTCACAATTCAGCAGCAGATCAGTTGCACAACTTCAGCGCTTTCCAGTAGCTTCTTCCTGCACAGTATTTTCAGTCAACTGCTCCCATAGCCTGCAGTCACGCTGGAACCTTTTACAGACACTTGAGCACATGCCCGGCCATTGTCAGTTTTACCATTGTCTTTCCCCCAATCTAGATGATATTACAGACTTACCACAGCATACAGTTATATCTTGTCTTAGCAGACAGGTTCTTTTAATTACATATAGCCTTCGATGAACAACATCACAGCACAAGGAGAGAGAATACACTGTACATGACTTCCTTATATACAATTCATTTACACATAGCAATCACTGATTGGTTCCCAACTCATTGACTTAACTCAGACCCTGCACAGTATTTTCAGTCAACTGCTCCCACAGCCTGCAGTCACACTGGAACCTTTTACAGACTTGAGCACATGCCCGGCCATTGTCAGTTTTACCATTGTCTTTCCCCCCAGTCTAGATGATATTATAGACTTACCACAGCATACAGTTATATCTTGTCTTAGCAGACAGGTTCTTTAATTACATATAGCCTTCGACGAACAACATCACAGCACAAGGAGAGAGAATACACTGTACATGACTTCCTTATATACAATTCATTTACACATAGCAATCACTGATTGGTTCCCAACTCATTGACTTAACTCAGACCCAGGATTACATCATTCACAGTCACCTGGACCAGGCCAGAACACATTCCCCAAATGAAGTTCTATATACATTTAATGCATTACTCAGCATTCGCAATAGAAGCCCATTAGCAGTGCATTACTCAGCTATATTACATTACAATACATTGTAAAACCTGACAAAAAACCCAAAAGCATACCATGGTTTTGCTACGAACTGTGCGTTGACATACCCTGCTGTAGTTTCCCACCATTTCAGAAGTATCCCCTGTATACATTTGAGCTTTTATAATTACCGTATATACTCGAGTATAAGCCAACCCAAATATAAGTTGAGGTGCCTAATTTTACCACAAAAAGCTGGGAAAACGTAATGACTTGAGTATAAGCCGAGGGTGAGAAATACAGAAGCTACTAGTCAATTTTGAAATAAAAATAGATACCAATAAAATTACATTAATTGAGGCATCAGTAGGTTAAATGTTTTTGAATATTTACCGTATTTCAAAGAATAACAGTAAACTAATTCTGTAAGTGGAAAAGGAGGGTCAGCAAAAACAATATGGTATTAATAATAATAAACTTAATAATAATAATAATAATAATAATCATCATCATCATCATCGTAATACTGGGAGCCCCCGATGGCGCAGTGGGTTAAACCCCTGTGCTGGCAGGACTAAAGACTAGTCGACAGGTCGCAGGTTCAAATCCGGGGAGTGGCGGATGAGCTCCTTCTATCAGCTCCAGCTCCTCATGCGGGGACATGAGAGAAGCCTCCCACAAGGATGATAAAAACATCAAATAATCCTGGCATCCCCTGGGCAACGTCCTTGCAGACGGCCAATTCTCTCACACCAGAAGCGACTTGCAGTTTCTCCTGACACAACAAAAAAAATTATAATATTTCATTTGTATCCCACCCTATCTCCCCATGGGGACTCAGATGACTTCCAACATAGTAACAGGGAAACATTCAATGCCTATATAAACAAAGCAAAGCTAGATATAGATCTATAGTTATATGTACTAATTTCACATATGCATTTCCTCCTGAAACGTTTGCATTTTCCTCCTTTAATATTTGCAAACCCTATATAGAGGGTGCAGCAGCATAACTTCCTTTTTTAAAAACTTAAAACCCATTGTATGAATCAGAATTTTTCTTATATTGTAGGCACATACCTAAAGTTTTGTTTTACGTAGTTTTGAAGATCAAATTAGGTAGGTGACGTCCCCATTCTCCATACACTGAGTAAACCGATTTCTGGCGTTTGTCATGACTCTTGCCAGCATAGCAGGCGTTATGTTGGCAATTTCTTCCTGGATGTTGGTCTTCAAATCTTGTAGGGTCTTGGACGGTTCACATAAACACAGGATTTCAAAAAACCCCATAGAAAAAAATCACAAGGGGCCAAATCTGGAGAGTGGGCCGGCCACTCCAAATCCCCCCTAATTGAGATGAGGCGCTCTGGGAAGTGTTCCCTCAAAACAGCCATCGATGCTCTTGAAGTGTGTGCAGTTGCACCGTCTTGTTGGAACCAAATGTCCCCTAAGTCCAACCCATTTAGCCGTGGGGGAAAAAAATCCTGTAACATGTTTACACTGTCACTGCGACTTCATTTTCCTCAAAGAACCAGGGACCAATAATTCCAGCTGAGGAAATTGCACACCACACTGTGATTTTAGGTGAATGCAAAGGCCTTTGATGCAATTCTCAAGGATTGTTGTCAGCCCAGTTTGTTGACGGATCCACACAAATGAAAATGGGTTTCATCACTAAAAAAACAATAGCGTCCTCAGGAACAACTTCGAGAAGAACCTCACATGCGTTCCTCCGAGAATTGAAGTCACATTCAGAAAGTTCCTGCACAATTGCCATCTTGTAAGGATGGAAATGAAGATCATCATGAAGAATTCGCCTCACAGAACGATCGGAAAGTCCAAGGGCAGGCGCATGTTTGCGCGCAGAACGCCGTGGTGATCACAACATTGAAGCTCTCACTGCCTCAATGTTCTCAGGTGATCTAATGGGCCGAGAGACTCCAGTTCTTCATCTTGTCGCACTTGCAGTTTGTCTGAATGTAGTGACCCACGTCACAATTGATTTCTGGTCCGGGACAGGGGCCAATGGGGCTAAATTAAAGCAATTCCGAAAGGTGCGCTGGGTTGCGATCACAGAACATCCGCTCGAAAAGTAGGCCTCAACGGCAAAAGCACGCTCCTCGCTGTTCCAACGCATGATGGCAACCGAACTGTGTGAGGACAAAACTTTATACTCCTGCCTCTCGAACGAGACCACTAGCACTCCACTACGTCTTCAACCGACTGAATGGCGTGCATTTTAAAAAAGGAAGTTATGCTGCCGCACCCTGTATCTATGTTTATATTTAGCTAGACATCTCTGTGTGTGTGTGTGTGTGCATTTCCCCTGCAATATTTGAAAGCCCTATATATCTATATTCATATCTATCTAGACATGTCTATATATATATTTGTGTGTACATTTCCCCCTGGAATACTGGCAAGCCCTATCTATCTATATTCATATCTATCTATCTATCTATCTATCTATCTATCTATCTATCTATCTATCTAGATAGATAGATAGATAGATAGATAGATAGATAGATAGATATGAATATAGATAGATAGGGCTTGCCAGTATTCCAGGGGGAAATAGATAGATAGATAGATAGATAGATAGATAGATAGATAGATAGATAGATAGATAGATAGATCATAGAATCAAAGAGTTGGAAGAGACCTCCTGGGCCATCCAGTCCAACCCCATGATAGATAGATAGATAGATAGATAGATAGATAGATAGATAGATAGATAGATTGATTTCTCTATATAGGGGAAATTATATATATATATAAATGCTCTGTGCATAATGAGTACCTTAAAAACAAAAGAACCAATGAAATCACACCAAATTTGGCAACAAAATGTCTCACAATACAAGGAGTGACCATCATTTGGGAGTTGTAGTTGCTGGGATTTATAGTTCACCTACAATCAAAGAGCATTCTGAACTCCATCAACGATGGGATTGAACCAAACTTGGCACACAGAACTTCCTTGACCAACAGAAAATACTGGAAGGGTTTGGTGGGCATTGCCCTTGAGTTTGGGAGTTGTAGTTCACCTACATCCAGAGACTACCATAGACTCAAACAATTATGGATCTGGACCAAACTTGGCATGAATATTCCATATGCCCAAATATGAACATAGATGGCGTTTGGAAGAAATAGACCTTGACATTTGGGAGTTGTAGTTACTGGGATTTATAGTTCACCTATAATCAAAGAGTGTTCTGAACCCCACCAATGACAGAATGGGGCCAAACTTCCCACCCAGAACCCCCATGACCAACGGAAAATACTCAAGGCCATCCAGTCCAACTCCCTTCACCAGGGCAAAAAAACGTAATCAAAGCCCTCCTGACGAAGAGCCATCCAGCCATAGATATAGATAGATATGATTCACACACACACACATAGTATCATAGATTTGAAAGGGACCCCCGTGAAGGACAATGATATGTTGCATGTTCCATAGTATGCAAACTAGACACTCTCCACATCAACACTGACAAAGAAACAGCAAGAAATACTGTTTACCCACAAGCATAAAGAAATTACATATATTAGAAAACAATACTTTCTCATTACTTTATTTTCCAGATCAACAGACTGGGCCACAGCAATGCGTGGCAGGGGACAGCTAGTTCATATATAAAATTAATGTATCTCTATATAGGGGAAATTCATATATAAAATTAATATAGATTGATAGATACATACATACAGGTATATAGGTACATATGGATTGCAAAGGCTTGCAGGGGGAAATGCCTATACATCTGTAGGGGAGATTAAGAAATATTTCAGGGAAACATTCTTTTATAAGATTAATAGATATTCTTGACTTGCAAGGGCTTCTCGCCC